ACACATATTAGCTTAGTGTAGAAAAATATGTTCGACAGCGCAACCGTCGGCGGCTTCAATAATAAACAAGGGAAAGCTAAGCTATTGCTCAAAGTTGTCTGCTTGGTTTGACTTCATACTAATTCTTACAAGAAATTTACATAACATATAAGTAGTGGCACATATAAAAGGTATACTTCTGATTCAAGTTAATATAAAGGAAGGAATAATAATAGGTGAAAAAAGCTCTGAATGAAATATGTGGTAAGGCGGATCATAGAAGTTCTTCATAGATATAAGATTTCTTAATTTAAGTTATTATAACTTCTAATTTACCCGATTGTATGCACAAAGTCGACTTTTCTTTTTCGAGTTCTAGGAAGTTAATTGGTTGTCGAAGTTCAATAAATAAATAACACATGTTTTGATACATTAAATGCTACTATAATCGGTGAAATTTATATCTCGAACAGAATTCTTTTCGCATCCGCTTATAAAAAAACCGTCTGCAGAATGGTTTATAAAAACATTGTACAACATTATGTATATTTAGGTCATAAAGACGATTTTGATAAACACCATATGAGTCCTGAAGGCCCTTAAAATATATATAACGAGAGTTCCAAGTCCACAACCCTTTAATATTCATAGACACAAATATATGGTAAATGAGTAAGGTGAGTTACACCATTTCTTACTTAAGCACCACTGGACCGGTATGAAAAGTCAAAGTTGAGGCAATTTTCTTTACGGTGTATCTGATGAACCCTACCGCTTTGTTCTTTGAGTTTAAACGTATTTAATTTCCGATTCGACTTGCAATCGCCATGCCGATTAATCACTTACAATGCGAGTGCTTAAATCAGGTTTTTCTCAGAGTAATTAGTATGTACAATAGTATATGCATGTGTCGAGAAACCATCCGCTTAATTGGAAATTGTCGTATATCGCAAGAACGAAATTTCATCAACCAAATGAATAGCGAAACGATATTGAAATGCTCGATTTGTGCCGATTTATTGAATTTTTATTACACTAAATGGACTACCGAACAAAAATAATAACAATAACGGCACCTACTGTTTCAAGAACTTAAAAGTTTCAAGACATCCTGTCACGCAACGAAAAACCTTAAACCGTACAATTGAATCAATCTTGATTCCATTTTTATACCCTGAACAGGGTGAAACGATATATAACCTACAAAATATGTTCATTTATATACAAATGATCAACATGCAAGTTGAGTAATTTTAGCAATGTCCGTCTGTCCGTCTGTCCGCCTGTCTGTATATTCGCGAACTCTGGTCCGATCAAGAAAATTTCTTCGTGTCAAATTTCGCGAAGATAACTCACCAAATAAAAAAGTGTTCATACAAGAATTGCCACGCTGTTTGTAACGCCCTGTATATAAGCGAACTAGTTACTCAGTTTTTGAGATTATGATATTTGTCGCAACGGCCAATATTGGACCTCTATAGCATATAACTGAAATACGAACTGAACGATCGGATTAAAGTGCTTCCATGGAGAACTCTTTCATTTGTCGAGTTATCTTCACGAAATGTGGCATAGATTGTTGTCTAAAGCAATGGTGCAATCTCCAAAGACATTCTTTAGATCGAATCACTATAGCATATAAGTATGTAGCTGCCATATAAACTAACCTGTGAACATCAAGTTCTTCTAAGGAATATTTTGTATTTGTGAAGAGTATTGTATTACAGCTTTGGAGCAACTGAAGATAACGTTTTTTCTTTTTTCTTTTCTATTTCAGATCAAAGAAGCTTACTTAAAACAAAAAAATTAATACCAAAAGCTTCACCATTATGAGGACGATAAAACTTGTATATAAATTGAGAAAATTCGAATATAAGATGCGCTAGTAAATAAAATGACTGACTGGAAGTGACAACTAATGAATATGAAGAGACGATAAAATCACTAAACTGGTTCTAGAAAAATGCATTGCCCACATTTCTATATAATTGTCTACGCGTTCCTATGAATGTACTTATTGTATATGCTAAATAGTATATAGATTTTTTTGTATGAACGAGCCAGTAGGCATTTTCAATATTTTTAATAAATCGTCGCTTAGACCTGTCCACCAGCGATAGCGACATAGAGCGGAAGCTGGGCCACTCAATTAGCGGTAACAGGATTTTCAGGTTAAAATTCACCACGCTCGCCGCCTTCCAACTTCCCCAACCTTCCAGTAGCAAAGCCGTTACGACAACGACAAAATATGTTTGCTGCTGTAATAATAGAGTAGTGAGCGACCAGCTGTTTTTATTTCCCATAATTTTATTTCTATTTTTTGAAACGCTCTGTTTTCGGCTTTTTCTTCGCCGATTAGTCATTTATATTTCTCTATGGGTTGGTCGGTATGCAATTGTTATATATTTGTTTTTGTGGCTTTCTTCGCGTATTTTCAAGCTACACATACTTTCAATGGTTGCTAGTTTATGGCTAGTCATAACGTCAACTACATGCATGCAGATATAATATATGGTACATACATACAAGCATACACATGTACACATCGATGAAGAGGTTAGGAAAAAGAATGCCTGGCATTTGCTCGTCGATCGGCTGACAGCAGGTAGCCATTTCCTTCGTCAGTTGGGCAACAAATTTTACGTGGAAGCCGAGCGGCTCAAGTGAAACACGCCTATACATACTTACATATGTATATGTGTAGTGCAAGCATAAGTAGCTTTGTATGCATGCAGATTTGCGTCAGTGTGCGCATTAGTAGATTTAGCAACAGGTGGTCATTTGCAAAAACATAAATAGCAACAGATGGAATTTGGCTTTTATGGCAATTGCGATGAACTGAGCTGAGTTTCACGGTCTTGTTAAGCGCTCATAAAAGCAACAAATGTACATGTGCATATACATACATATGTATGTGCAAAGTAACGGACATACACATTCACCACAGTGCAAATAATCTGTTCTGGTGTTTTTAAGCAAAAATTGTGCATTTACTACGATCCGAAGTTTTGTCTTATCGCAAAAAACATTTGTATGTGTGCATGTATGCACGTAGCTTTTCTATTGTTACACAATTTTTTCACAACCATTTACGACAAGTTGGCTTTTCCTCGTAAAATTAATACTGGCTTTGAGAGTTTCTAAAAAGTTACGTTTTGGTCAAAAGTTGAGTTTAAAATCCCCTTCTCTATGCACTTGAGGTAGACTGGTCGCAACGAAAATTATTCTCACCGTAGTTAGCTTGCAGACATTTGATTCACGCAGCAACAACAACAGCAAAAATACACAATATAACAACAGCACAAATACTATGCTCAATGCATTAAGCGTACTGCGAACTACAGGTTCAAGACGACAATAGAGTGCACGAACACGTCTTACTCACCACACGTATGGTCGCGAACTGAAACTCAACTAAACCTGCAAATAATAAACGACAAATGCGAATGACAGACGACAAACAATAGTGACTGTATTCCAAGCTGAGCTTCAACTGATGACTGGCATCCAGCGCTGGTAATATACTCCACCATCGACAGCGGAGAGAGCTCTTTTCCACATGCTGGCATAAACATACATACAAGTATACAAATACCACTATGAATGCGTAGCCCGAAAAAAATGTGGACAAAAAGTAAAAATGAAAATAAGCAACAAGAGATAAAGAAAATTAACTACTCTCAGCCGATCGAACAGGCGCAGCTCAGCAGCTCACCAACCAGCAAACCATCCAACCGACCGATCGACCCATCTAACTAGTACTTGTAAGTACAAAAACAGCAATAATGCTAGCAATGCAGTAACAACAAAAAAGTGGACAGCAAAAAGCAAATCATAGCAATAGCGACGGATCATGAGCAGAGGTATACAACTAGCATCGGCGCCAGCAACAACTAGCTAGCTATACCTATTGTAGTAATCATTCGGTTTGCTCACTTGTTACATTACAGCGTTACCGGACTTAATTGCTAAACGCATAGTTTTCAAATCATAAAATCGAGTTGCGGTTACATTAAAAATAACCAAAATGGAGGTATACGTTTTTATACATAAATATGTATATCCACCGACAATAATAATTGATCCTATTAAATCATAAAATTGATCTAAATCTAATGCAAAACTCGTTCTTTATCGTTTACTCACTGAAGAAGCATTATTCAGAACTATACTTATTTGGAATGTTCGTATTAATGTTGTTTGACAAATCGAATAAAAAGTTTTAAACCAAAAATTTTTTTAAATGAAATATTAGCTCTTATCTGATGATCTTTTACTCTTTTTCTGTATAGATCTAGTGATAGGGCGTTAGTATGAATTTTTGTGAATAGGCATTTATAGACAAGAAAACACATACCCACTACTACGGCAACTTTTCAGAATCCACTTTTTTAAAAAATTTAGCGTTTTCAGCGAATTTGTACAACAAAGAGCCTATGATGATCAGTCGGCAGAAAATTGGTCAGCTGCCATCTAGACAGTATGAATCAAATTGAACGTATATTAAGCAAATTAACTATTAACTGAGGAATAATTTAGCTACAGGGCCGATTAGCTTAGTACAAGTATAGTAATGGTCAACAAAATGTTCCACTTTAATGTCGCATTTTGATTGATCATTCACCTATGTACAAGTATAAGGCATGATTTTTTCATTTGTTCTCTCTGATTCTAGACTTTACTTTAAATTGTTTTACCTATTTAAAATTAGTTGATGTATTTTCCTATAGTTTTATAAGACATCGTCAAGAATAGTTTGAAATAGTTTCAGAATACAGTTATAAGCTAGGATGATTCCGTAAACCCTTACGACTACAGTTCCTTTCCTTTGGTGAAGTCTGGGATACGATCGGCGCATGGTTAACATCCCCTTATATTGATCGCTACCTGCAAATAATTCGTAGTTTTTTTTAATCTTTATCTTTATCGGGACGAAATATTCCTTTTCGTCGGTATGCCATCAAGGACATGATATTGATCGTTCAGTTTGTATAACAGATATATACTATAGTGGTCCGATATCAGTGGTTCCGACAGCAGCTTGAGCAGCTGCTTGATGAGAAAAGGACGGATACAAAATTTAAGATTGATATTTGAAAAACTGAAGGACTAGTTCGCTAATATACAGACGGTCTTAGTTGAAATTATGAATGTGGACCTCTCGAATATAATTATTATATGTAGCAAAACACTCATATATATTTCCTGTTTTAAACATTTCAAAAACTATTAGTTATTCTGGAATATTCTCGACTTCTCACATCTGGCAACTCCTGAATTATTTTTGCAATCGACAGCAGCAAACTTCAGCTGTGATTTTCTCTCCACTTAAATCGCAAATTAAAAGTATTTTCTATAAAAAAAAAACAATTATTTTAGCCACAAAACGTACGGAAAATGGAAGTCTTTCACAAATCATTACTTAACGAGAGGCTTTCTTGGCGCGTACAGGTGAACACATTTGTATGTACATAAGTTTTGCATGTAAATATACTTATGTATACAGTCACTAATCAGGCTTTCATAAATAAGATTTTCGTGCAGCAGGGGCGTGCGATTGCAAATTAAATGTCAAATATCCAGTACTGTTAGACCTACTGTTACTGCTTAATTCGTAACCTTTTAAGTGTTATTTGTCTTGTTATTGGGGTTTATTTGCAATATCACAAATATGCCTTGTTTTATTAAGTGTTCAAACGCAAATATAGCACGTAAACACACATATACATACAAACATACACGAACGCTTTGTAAATATGTGCTACGTAGGAGTCCACAACGTTTCTTCGGATGCTTTGGCAGAGCTTTGTTGCTCTTGCTGCGAACGGAGCGGGTGAGCGTTGCGCTGTTATTTTTTGGGGTTTTTCAAAAACTTCCAGCAAATTTGGAACTGACACTTTTCGCATATGTTTGTGAGTGTGTGTGTGTATGTTGTATTTTGTTTATTAATCTCGGCTAGTATAAGCTGTTTTCAGTCATTGCTGACGCAGCTTTTATTGCCAATTGGCTGAAAACCTGTTTTTGAAATCAAAACCGCAAATTTCGTTCTAAATTTTCACTATGCAATTTTTTCTCCTCATTTCGCAGCTTAGAGGAAAACTCTTGTGAATTGAATCGAATCGCTTTTTAATTTCGCCAATTTAGTGGCGTAGCATACACACCTTTTCGCTGGCTATAATTATGCCCGTATGAATTTTCCAAAGCTTTGCACGAAGCTACAGGGATTTCACTAATAATTAACTTTCCCAACTCTTGGTTTGCGACCGATTTTGGGCAACATGAAAGTCGGATTTTTATAACGAATTTCTGCGTCGCGTTGTATTAAGTAATTACGCTTTTTTACTTCACGACTAACCAAGCTAGCCTACAACCGAGTTTCCGAGTTTTCAATAGCCGATAGACGACTCTGTACAGACCAAACGGAGGTCAGCACAGATAACGAAGGATGCTACAGCTCTGTAACAGTAAATAGCGACCGCAAAGACAACGTGTGAGCAAAATCGCAACCAGACTCGCAGTACTATGATCAAATACTGAATTGCAGGTTGAGTGTTGGGCCGGCAGATGGGATCGTTTGGAATGGCTTTGTGTAAATAAGCGAAGCAGCAGTAGACGAAAAAGAGCGAATGTGACGAACGAACGAACCGACGGCCAAACAAGACGTTCACCGATTGAGCTTCAATGCGGGCGAGCAGCACCAGGTTTAGCCAGCGCGTTATATACCGTACTCACCACAGCTTGTGCTTTATGGAGCTTACCACAACCGTCGGCGCTGGGGAGCAGCTCAGCTATTTGCTGATAATTTAGAGATGATGATTACGTTTTTCCGTGGTGGCTTTTAGTTGTTTTTATTTGGTTTTGGCGATAAGAGTATTCTGTCAACGCAAGCGTTCACGGGGTACAAGACACGACTTGGGCACTTGATATAATTGCAAGGCTGCAATAACAACTGAGCAGGCGTTTGCAGAGCAGTCAGCGATCCGCTCAGCACCTCAGCTCAGCTGATCTCACTTCGTTTGCGTTAAGTGGCGCACATACATACAGATACCTTGGACTATGTATGTATGTGTGTACGTCTCCGAGGTGTATACCAGTTTTGTTCGGGTGAGCATTAGACGCATAGCGCTGTATTCACTTGGATCTTGTTATATGCAAAATACACACATTAGAGCGGTTGTGAGAAAAGAGAAAGGGGTGGCCAACAACAAAGCTCAGCGGCGCAGCGAAGGTGTAAGCTGGGGAGAAAAAAAAATATAGTTAAAAACAATTTGCTAACTACGTAAATGCAGACCTACAAGCAGACAAACAAACGCTGTTGCTTACATACATTCGCTTGCGGGTGTGTGAGTGTGTGATTTATAAATATAAATATCACAAAGGCACATATGCTTATATTTTTGTACACATTGTCAACGATAAACAAGCCACACTTAGCTGTACATGAAACGCATGAAAGCCGACATGACGCCCCCAAAAAAGTACTCACCGACATTCGTGCAAGGCACAACGCTGATAAGCGGCTCCAATTATTGGCAACCAGCATGAAGAAAATAATTACAATTATGTCGCTCCAGCTGATTGAAGAGCTGATATATCAAAACTGTACACCCTCGAGAAATTACGCAGTTCAAAGTCACCACATGGATTTAATGGTAGCAAAACGAAGAATATTTTATTTTCAATTTTGTTGTCCTCTATATTTCGCCACCCATTTTCCTAAAGTTTTGAATTGGAATGCGTGACTGCTTGTTTTTTTCCATACAGTTTTCATTTGATACCTCTTTAAAATGCTACGGTTTATTAAAATCTAATTAAAAACACAATGAATTTACTGCCAAGAGATAAGATGCTGCAGTGGGTATCTTCCCACACATAACAATTTTCTACATACTCTTACAGTAGCGGACAAAAGTCTATTGTGTTGATGCAGTTTTATTATAATCTTGTTTCTAACCATAATAAACTAAACAAGTCAGGAAGCGCTAAGTTCGGATGTAACCGAACATTTTATACTCTCGTAAAGTCAAATGGTATACTCGTTTTAGATTTCTTTGTGGATCTTGTCGTTTTGTTCTAAGTTGACCGATATTTTTGGTAAAAAGTCAACTATAGTGGTTCAAATATTCAGGCTTGAAATATTTAGTTCAATTCAGATAATTTTTGGTCACAAGGTGGCATACTTTAAACGTATTATTCACGCAAAATTTTTACTCCGATATAATCATTGTTGCCTGATTTGCATACTGGAAAGTGAAAAAATGAGATGGAATTTAAAATGATGTTATACGGGAAATAGGCGTGGTTGTAATCCGATTTCGCCCATTTATACTATGTACTATAATATAGAAATATGAGAAGAATATTATGTACCGAATTTGGTTGAAATCGGTTAAGCAGAACCCAAGATATGGGTTTGCACCTAAAAGTCGGCGGTGCCATGCCCACTATCTAATTTTAAGGGGGCGGGACCACGCCCACCAGGAGTATAAAAAAATTTATTATTTAACATAAAACAACAAAGTTATGGAAGAAAAACCGAACATTTGATTTGACAAAAGTCTTTATACAGTATAAAAATAACATATTTTAGTGTGAAAACTTTACTTAAATCTAGATATTATTGTATTTTAGGATTTAGTTGGGCCCCGTTGGCATTTTCAACTTCTTGAAGCTGCCTTGGCATCGATTCTACTAAATTAGGCAACTCTGCAAATATAATGGTGTTCAAAGCTTCTATTATGAGCTCTTGGAGTATAACAGCGGTAGAAATATTTTTTTCTAATGCTTCCCTCCAAAATTTCTTAGACAAGTTCAAAATTTATTCCAAACTGGGCTTTGAGGTGGCGTGTTTCATTGTCTGGGGCCATTATAAAGCACCCAATACTTAATAATTTGCACACTATCCTTTGGATCGTTATCTTGCTTGAAAATTCAAATGGAACAGAGATCCAATTTATATTCCAGCAGATATTTCCACTTGTAACAATCGATATTACTCTCAATAAAAGCTAGAATTCCAATTCCAGAGGCCGCAACAGCTCTCCAAACCATTATGCTGCTGCCATCATGCTTTACAGTTAGTAATTCTTCGGATCAAGCTCAGCCTTAATTTTTCACCAAACTTTCTCCCTTCCACTGCCACCAAAAATATTGAACTTTGAATCTTCTGGAAATATAATATTATTTAGTTTTTAGACTCGTCTGTACCGTTGCTCGACTTTAGTTTAAAATTTTTAAAATTTCACCACATAATTTTTCTCTTTTCCGTTTTTATTACCAAATTTCTTATGTGAACTGATATACTGGGGTGTATGGAGAAAGCGTTTTTTTTGTTAGAGTCCACTGCGCTTGAGTTTTGCGAAGACCAATATATCGGTATAATTCTGCACAATTTTCTACAGCATAGTCGGATTCGTCATACCAACAATACTACTGGAACTATTTGGCATTTAGAAGGCATTGGCAACCAGTACCAAATAATTGTATTCCTAATCACATGACTGGATATATTTTCTAATGGTTATACAGTTTACTTGTCTGAATTTGTATCTAATATATTGGGATATTATTGTTTAAGCCAATTCTTAGATTTCCCTAAGCTACAGCTATAATTTAATTTGTATTATGCCAAGAAATTTTATCTATGTAACTGGGCTCCGTCTAAACATGAAGGATTATGTTTCGAGTTCATAATATTTACTCAAGATATTCTTTCTTTATACAAACTATAATTCTTATAACGGTTAATATGTTCAAATGTGCTAAATGCAAACTCAGTATTCTATTGAAGATTTTAAGTTGGCAATATATTTTATAAAAATTTAGGAATTTGGCAACTGATCTTGACATGTTTTGAAATTTTTTCAATTAGAGGGAACCTACAAAATCTGTGTCATGCTAGTTGTAAACTACATGTCTATGATAACAACTGAAAAGTCTACATTTAAACATCTTCATGAGAATATATCAAATAAATAGTTTTAGGTAGCAAAAGCTGAGTAAAGTAGCAGATATGGATATTGAACTGTAATGCGAACGGAGTAGCATGTATATACTGATCAGAAATTTAAAAATTCGCCTGAAATATGTGCGTATATTTGTTTTCTACACACCCATCATCTGGCAACATCTACCAAACCAAATTCATCTTTAACAAGAGCTACTCTAAACGTCAATGAATGAAGAAATTGTAATTCTCCATACTTCCCTTTTTTATGGACGACTGGACATGGAGTTAATTTTTGCTCTATAATTCTATGTGTGATTTACCTGCAGCGGATTGAACTTGATCAAGCTTCCGGCTTTAACTGGTTGAATGGAAAAGAAAAACAAGAAAAAACGTTAACTTCGGTGGCACCGAAGCCGTTATAATCCTCATAAGTGCAATTTTTATAGCATAAAAGGGTATAAAATTATTTTTATCTTGAGTTTGATCGGACGATTTGATTTGTATGACAGCTATATGCTATAGATGTCCGATCTGAACAATTTGTTTGGAGATTATAGCGATGCTTTGAATAATGATCTATTCCAAGTTTCGTGAAGATTTCAGAACAAATAAAAAAGTATTCAATACTGTGTGTACAGTTTGTGTGACAGCTATATGCTATAGTGGTCCCAATAATAGCACTTGCGACAAATGAGCAGCTTCTTGGTGAGCAAAAGACGTAAGCAATTTCAGATTGATATCTCAAAAACTGAGGGACTAATTCGCTTATATACAGTTATATATGTTTAGGGTATAAAAACTAAATCTTTCAAAAACAACCGAAAAAGCATCAAAAAAATTTGTTGATCCTACCAAATCGAATCGAAAAATTTAGACCTTAATTACCAGTTTAACGTCCGGAAGAGAAAAGGTATGGAAATGTTATGTTAAAGCAAATAGTGATGTATGATATTATATAAAAATCATAGCTTCTAGGAAACTTGCCTAAATAACTGGTACAACTGTTATTCATCTGATTTTTTTTTAATGTATTTAACGTTGATGCAGATCTCGACAAGTATTTGACCGTTGAGTGATGGCATGATCGGCCTCTTGACTAGTTTGTAAATGCTCAGCTGACTGGTTTGCCAAAGAGCCTGCCGGCAGACTTCGATTACTCACATTGTCGCATTGTGTTTCTCTGCAGTTATATACCTGTCGTCTGGTGGCTGTTCAGCCGTTCTGTGATTTAGCATAGCTTGCGAACACACGAGCACATCTGTGCGAAATTTCCAACAGCCACAAGTAGCCAAGTTGAAAATATAACAATTTCTGATAATACGTCAGCAATGGCAACAAATTGTCCACATTTCATCACAACAGACCCAGTTTCGTTGCGCACGAACAAGCTTGGCAAACCATAAAAGCCAAAAAACGCCGAGCAGTTACCAGTCGTGCGATAACAAATAACAGGCAGCTGCATATAGCCGATGACGGTACCGACAACAACAAACAATGAACCGTTGTCTGTTCGTCTGTCTTCTAATAACATTAAAATGGCACAACTAAATAAAAACAAAATCGGCAACTAAAAATGCGAAAAATACACAAACTTGGTAAGAACTGTAAACTGAAGGAGCAAGGCGTCAGAAGTATCGATAGTAACTTGATGTCAACTGCCAGCTGTCGACGGCTACCGACCACTGGTCAGTCGACCAATTGACTGACTCACTACCGGGTATTCAATGCAAGCGGAACGGCATTGCACCTAACTATTTGTGTACATATATAGTTTGAAGCAGTCGACCAAGCGGTGGACAAATACGAAGATGGATCGCATAATATCTAACGCAAGGCTGTAGTGAAGCCGCCCATGCGCAATTCATTGACGTCGGCGGTTTGTTTTTAGGTTTTTGCGGTGTTTTCTAATGAATCAGTTTCGTTTAAATTGTAAAAAGTAAAATAGTTCATGCCGTAATATAAGCTGACGCATATGATTAATGAAGATTCTTAAAGTTTGAAATATTACTAAATACGAAAGTTCTTTTAGCTATTACAAAATTGTGTACGCTTATATCGTACGTTTCGATTCAACGACCGTCTGTACGGAAGAAGGTCGTAGACTTCTCACCTGTGGAAATGGTTTCCCGACTTTTAGTTAACTATGTATTCACCTTATTGTTCAGTTTGCAAAAATCAGATAAGATCTTTATGTCATAAGTCACACTCCATCCAAAACTTTTAAGGAACTTCTAACTGTATTAACGAGATATATCTTCATCTGTTTGTGGCTCTGGCACCAGTATTACAATTAGAGCTGTTCTATGTTTAAATTTTACTTTTAGTCAAAGTTATTTTATCAAACTCCCTACATGGAAACGTAATAGAGACTTGACTTTCGCCAAGTTTTCAGTATAAGTGCTCTCAGAGAAACAAGCAATGGCTCGGTCACGGACAGCTTAGGGGAATTGTGTTCCCAGCTGAGGACTACAACTAAGTTGTCCCAGACCATTCAGCTCCTTCAAGGGTTGTTTGAAGCAATGGACCCTAGAGGAACACCTCAGATCTTGGAACCCTAGCAACACAGGGTTATTTGGGGTAGAGACAGATCAAAAAGCTTCTAGTTCTAGGCAAACGAGACCTTAGTAATATGATAGGGGTCATCACAGGGCACCTACCCTTAAGATTCTATGTTCAAAAAATTGGAAAAGTGGTAGAAGTGGAGCGGCGGAATAAAGAGCATGACTGGAGGATGCCCTGCAATGCCCTGTCTTCAGCCGGCTGAGGCGGGATATCTTCCACTGCTCCCAATGCTCCAATTTAAGAGGCATTAACCAGCTGGAGTGGAAAATTTTTTTTTTTACAAATACACTGAGATTGCTAGATAAGGCTTAATTTGGTTACCACCCGGAAGCACAAGGGGCCTAATGATGACCTAAGTGCGATCGTCTGCGGTCTGGTGCTCCTGCACCTCCCTTTTCAACCAACTAACCAATAACGAGAAAACTCAAACTAAGGCCCTCAATTCTGTCAATTGGGCCACTTCTTCTTAGAGGTGAAATTTCTTAAAAATTCTTCGTACCTTCCATTAAAAAGCAGTACTGAAATAGCTACAACTACTGAGAACTGAATATATGATACCTGGGACCTGAAAATGAACACCCCTTTAGGATTCCAGTAGACACTAATGTGGAATTTACTGGATAACTTTTCCCTAATTATATGATAAAATAAAGTGACTCAACTATTTGAATAAATTAAATAAGATGCAAGAACCCATAGTTAATAAGTTTCCGATTTTAAAACCGTTTGATAAATTTCAGTTGGAAGAATTCTTCTGCTAGATTTTAAAGCTCTGCTGCTGAAAAATGTATATACGTACATATTAAACCCATGGTATAATTGATAGATTTTTCCGAATTTATTTCTCAATTTTTCTCTCATAATATGAATTGTTCAATCTAACGAGCAATCGAATCAACAATACAAATTCGACTCTTTGTCTATAGCAACTGCTTTTTTAACCCAATAAAATTAATCAAAACTTGCTAAAGAAACGAATATGTGTATAAAAACACGAAATGCATACTCGCTCATTGGCAACCTTTCGGGTCAATAAAACCTTCAAAATTTGTCAAATACCAAAACGGGCACACAAACCAAGAAATGCAATGCACAAGAGCATGAAAAACAAGGAGCGGTAAGAGGAACGCCACACACATTTAGAGTCAGTAATAAATTTACGTGTGTTAAGACAAAATAATGATCGTGAAGGTGGACGGTGGGGGCAGAGGAAAATGCCGGCTTCGTTTCGAATACTTTTTGCTTACCAACACCTTTGTCTTTGCAAGCGCATTTGTTTTTGTGGAACAAAATCAGCTTCGGGCTTAGCTTGCAGCATTTTCTGTGGTCGGACGTGCTGGTATTTTCCGAAATGCAGGCGTAGCAACAGCCAAAGCAACAACCACTAACCGCTGACCGCGTTGCACACTGTAACAACGCAACAACTGATTTCACTGCCTCGCCGATAAACGCTAGCAAAACAGAGCTTGTTGTATCTTTTTGTAGGAACAAATGTAGATGGCCAATAAAAAGTGAAAGAAACACAAATACTCGCGTGAGTGTGAAATTGAAAGACAAACAAAGCGAATTACAATAAAACTAAAAACATAACATAAAAATATCAAACATTACGTGACACTTTGGCACTTGGGCGAAGGTGCAGTTCCGAGACTAAATCACGTTTTTGCGGCAATTCAACAATATTTTAGGCAAACTGACTGTTTGACTCCTGTGATGCGAGTGCTCTGCCGTATCGCAAACTCAAACAGATTAAGAACGAGCAATCAGCAATCAGCACCCAACAATAGAATAACGGCATTCAATAGGTGGTCAATGCAGACGCACCCTGTATGTCGAGTTGCTAATGGCGACATTAAGTGCACGTGCTCCAACGAGCTGTCGATTATATTGTATTTCTTAACTTTGCACGCAGTATTGTTGTTGTGATTGATAACACTTTTGCTGACGCGTTGCTGTAATTGGTGTTGCATTGCATTGTTTTCATGTTGTTTATAAGTTCGCAGCTATTTTGGCTTGCGCTTATTCTGATGCCTTGACTGATGTTTTCCTCGTTGCCTCAACAGCGATTCTCTTATCTACTAGGAAATTTGCGCTCTCACAAACAAAGCAATTATTCTTAATAAAGTTACGATCGTAATAATTATATTTTTACTTTGTATTTTTTAGATTTTCAATATTATGGCCCTGCAAATAGCCTTTATCAACACATAAAGTGGGAAGCATCTGGATTTTGTTGTTATTATTACAAAATGTCCAGCGAGCCCAGTATTTTGGTAAAATATTGATTCAAAATATTCAGAGACGCGGTATCTCTTCTAGCATAAGTGCTATGTCGATATAATTTAATCACTGTTTAATAGATGTCGTATATCCCAATTTGATTTATCCTAGTTTTAGTATTCTTCACTTCTTGAAATGCCGTGGTACCAGCCTTCGGTTTTACGATGTCATAACATAATATGAGTATTTTTTTGTTTTTAATAAAATGTCCTGGATATTTCTAAAAATTATAAATTTTGTTAGTTTTGTTGTTAAGGCAAAAAAGGCTTAATAGGGGCCGAGAGCTTTCATACTAACTGACCGATCAAGTCCTTGCATGGAAACCTTTTTTTGGACAGGTATCTTCATGACATACCGTTCCCTCGACAGTCGGGTCTAAGTAACCGCAACGGACCCGAATTTTTATCCGGCCAAGAACTGTCAACTCAGCATCATTCCTCGAAATTTCTTCAGGAATGTTTTCTGTCGCTACTACAACGACAACATGAACTTTGGCACAGATTATCATCCTAGGCAATGGTATTAACTCTGAAAAAATTATTCAAACCGAACCACTATAGCATATACGTAGCTGCTGACCGATCTAAATCAAGTTCTTGTATGGCAACTTCTTTATTTAGCAAGGGTATTATAGCTGTTGTTTTTTTCTAGGCTACCACATTTTTATACAATTGTTTTGAACGTTTTATGATGAAGAATATATATGGTAACATATTGTGCTAAAGTTGCTTGAGTACAGTCATGACGCGCGTTCGTCTCTCGTTACGTCAATAGTAGAAGTAAATATTGAGGTTTGCGATATTTTGCTAGACATATTAAAGTTTTCTGACAGGTCTAAAACCTCGCTTAGTTTTCTTAATCGACATATGACCAGCCTTAAGCCTTATAAATAAGTTCGATATGAATTTTCAACTAAATGATTTGCAAAACTGAAAATATGTATGAATCTCCTGAATTTCCATTTTACGGAATGTCAAGTCTGCACATCTTCTATACAGATATCATTGAAGTTAATTTCTTCTAAAGTGTCAATCTAATTTGCTAAAACTATCACTTCAGCTGCGAGCTCTTTTTTCCACTCAAATATGTCAAACTGTGTGCCTGAAATAGTGTTATTGCAGAGAGTTCTTATTTAATACTTTAATATGAAGGAAACTTCGACGAAAGTGATCGTATTTTAATAGAAGTTTATGGTGAGCATGCTCTACCTTAGTGAACGTGGCAAAAGTGGGTTGCACGATGTAAAAGTGGGGATTCTGGTTTGGAAGACGAAGAACGATGTGCGGCCAAAAAAATTTGAAGATGAGGAACTAAAGATGAGCATTACTCGATAAAGATTGTTGCAAAACACAAGAAAAACTTGCAATATCTTTGGGATAACCTCAAGCAGCCCTTTGCTAACCTCAATGCGTTTAAAAATAGCAGGATACATTCAAGCAAGGAAATTGGGTGCAATATGAACAGACGTTCAAAAAGAAGTCGTTTTTCCATCGGATTGTGACTGGTGATGAGTCTACTATAAATGCGTTACACATCTTCCTTTCTGTGTAATAGGGGTTAAAACTGGGGCAAAAGTGTACCAGAAGGAGGTTTTAGAAGGTGTAGTTAAGCAATACCATACTTCCAGCAAGATTCCGCTGTCACATACAAGGCAAAACCACCCAGCAGTGGCTTGAAAGCATTACTCCCGGTTTCATAGCTGCAGATGATTGGCCGCCTAGAAGTCGAGACTTGAATCCATTGGACTATAGTTTGTGGTCAGGGTTGGAAAAAATGGCCTGTCAAATACCCCTCTGAAATTTGGAGAGCCGGCAAAAACTTTGTGTGTGCTACTATTCATCGATAGCCGAGTCATTTGTGGCCTTGTGTGAAAGCAAAAGGTGACCATTTCGAATGAAATTCTGTATATTGCTCATTTAATATACATATGCATTATTAAATAAAATTAACTCTATTAAAAAAAATATTATATTGTAGTTTCACTTTGATAACAGCCTGAGCTTGTTACAGCACTTATGGCATGACTAAGTAGCTATATACCCAATATGTACATTTTATTTTATCTGAGCGCAAATCAAAACAATGTGGCATTTATGACAATAAACAAAGCATCAATATGAAATCATCAACCACAACAATAGAAGTTATCTAACTTAATCTCACTTACAAGTATCTATAATATATGTACATATGTATGTATGTGTGTATGTAAGTCTATTAAGTACATTTTTATTAGCCCAAAGAAACCGAAAATAATTTCCAGTTTTTCATTTTAATTCAGTTACCTCGTTTTTAAGAGTGTTTACACAAACATACTATATATTTACGTACATAAAGCCATACATACTTTCATGCAAGTGTTAAAGTAATATACATAGATATATGTAATGCATCCTCCTTATGCTCCTCTCTCTCTCTGTTTTCAACCTGAAAGTGAACAACAATCATAGTAACAAGCTAAACGGTAATGTAACAACAACACATCGCGGAAAAATAAATAGCATGCAATGGTTGTCACACTGCCAACAACAACAACAACAATAACGACAGCAAACTTAGCGAATAATACGAATGCATTTGTGTGGCTGGCGCTGTACACTGAGAATGTATGCGAGTCTGTGTGTGTGGGAGAGAAGAGGTGAGAACGAGAGGAGATCGAACAGTGGGTACGAGTAAATCGCTTGAAAATATATGTATTTAAAGTTAGTTGGGCTCATTGGAACTCATTGTCGTGCTGACACTGGCACCGACTGGTACAACAACAACAACGAAGAGGTTTCTACAAGTTTGCCTGAATGTGTTCGCAAAACCATATCCATATGTTCACATTCGCACATAAATACTATTTTAGTAATAATGAGTGTATGTAAGTTTATTTGAGTGCTTGTATAAAATAATGTACACTTTACAACAATAAAAATTATACAGTTTAACACGACCGTGTCGTCCAATTCAGCATCTTGACGTCGCAGCGTCACCGGGCCATTGAGAAGTGTTTGATTATTTCGCGGACATGCGAACTCTAAGTATGTACAGACGTATTCGAAATAATAAGAACAACTAAAGGTTAAATTTAAATTAAATTTTCGAATCTCGGCTACATAAGTGTTCATTACAATCTAATATTCTTATATAGTACTAATTTGTGCAAGTGGGGAGTTTAATTTATTGTTATTGATGGAGGGGTAGTCACAAGCAAACTTCTCATACGCAGGATGAGCAGATCACAAAAATCGTGAAAAGTGTCCCATTTATGACTGCCATGCAGGTAAAAATAAATTGGAAATTCCAGCATCAACTTCATATAAAAGAAATAGGTTGATCTCTACTAAACTAAAAGCACGTATTCCAAGAAAAGTACATTTACTGAAAAGTGGGCACATAAAACGGCTATTTAAATTTGCTCGAAAGTTTGTTGGCGAACCTCTGCCAGTTCGGCACAAGATTCTATGCACCGATGAGACCAAATTTGTTCAGTTCGACTGTGGTAAGGAAAAACAATATGTCAGATGATCTCCTAATCAACAAGTCATTGCAAAATATACAACGAAGGCTATAAAACATGGATGCTTCAGCTGAAGTTTTAAGGGATGCTTTTCTTGAAGTGGTGTTGAGCCTCTAGCAAGGATGACAAGAACTAGGAAAACCATGTTAATAATAATCTGGAAGACCCGGTTCTAACTTATGTCAAAGATGATATGCCATTTCAATGGGTATTACAACAAGAGTATGACCCAAGGCATATCTTAAAAGGAGCTAAGGAGAAGTTTCGTAGCTAAAATATTAATATTATATAATGGATTGGCCGGCGTGATAATTAAAAGTAATTAAAAATCGTTAAGGAACAACTTAATACAAAATATAAAGACAGTCGGGTACATTTCTCCACAGTAAATAAATCTTCGTATAACCATTTATATTTTGTTCTTATTTTTTCGAACAGACTGTTTCGGGCTCAAAGCAACAAAATCCGCCACAAAAAAAATTTAACGTGTCTATGATAACCAAGTTTGCATTTTATAAAAACTCTAACCATACACAAATGTTTGTCGAAAAAAAATTTAAATTGGCAAGTTTGGCAAACATTTTATTCAAGGATTTCTATATCTATATATCTAAAGAGTCAAGAATAGTAACGGGTGTGTTTTTTAGACGAGCGAGGCAATACTTTTTTCGGAGTTAGTACTTTAGACAGCTGTTACGTGATTTACTCTTATTTTGGTTTGCCATTTCATAATGAACACACTCACTCTGGAACAACAACGTGCAGATTTATTACCAAAAAAATGGTTTCGCACCATGTTTGCGGGCTTAACATATCCAACTTGTTGAAGAATTGAAGTCGAAGAACCTTCAAGCGCGTCGCACTTTAGGTGAATGGGCCCAAAACTAGATGGCCACCATCCTGATTTGCACAAAAAAAAATTTTTCAGCGATAAAGCTTAGTTTTGGTTGAATAGGTACGGTTATAAACTTGGAGCCACAAGCCATTGGTACATCCTCAGAAAGTCATTGGTCCATATTTCTTCTGAAATGAAACTGTCCATAATATTACAGTCAATGGGGAACGCTATAAGATATGCCTAAGACGATTGACGCCTTAGAAGAGAATATTCGGCGCGTTATTCCTGACATACGTCCCCAATAGCTGCAAAAAATGGTCGAAAATTGGTCATCTCGGCTGGAAATTATTCGAGTCAGCCGCGGCGATCTTTTGCCCGAAATAATTTTTAAAATATTATTGCAAACCCTTATCTTAACATTAAATTATAAGCGTTTATTACTTCTTGAAAACAACATGTTTAAAAAAAACCCTCCTTATTATAGTGCGCCCTCGATAAAAGTAACTGCTAAATATACGGGGTATTCCGTTGAACAAGGTTGTTGCAATAACATTATCCTAATAAAGTTGAAGTTCCTGAAATGAGAATATAATATGGAAACTAAAGTACCACACGTAAAAGAATAATTCGACGGCAAAGAAAGAGAAATATGTATTTGTTTTAAAAAATTTAAACATTTTCATTCATATTTTCTAGGTGCTACATTTTTGTCGGCGCTCAACTCTCTCAACTGTTTTCTACTGATGACGAGTTTTCTTCCATTGATTTCCATTGAAAACAACTGATAAGAGATTGGTGGCTTAACATACATTGTTTGGAGTTTTGGGCGGGAGGGCTTGCCAATGTGCTTTCAAGTAATGAAAGTAAGTATTTCAAAATTATTGCAGATCGGGTATGGGCAGACATTTTTCTGTAATCCAATTGTCTTCTTTACTTGATTTGGAAACTGTGTTATAAATATACCCTGAACAGAGCATATTAAGTTTACCACAATGTCATTGTGGGGCTTAATGAACTTACTCGTTTCCGACTCACAACTCGATACGAATCTTTCAAATTATATTTTTTCTTTTTGACTCTAGCAATTGTTGATCATTCTCAAAGCGACATGACTGATGCAATTTTACTCGATTATCAGCCCAGATTTCTGCCTTCCACTTATAGGCAGCTTGTGAAACTGGAGAATGAAACGAAATGGTTTGAAAATTGAGTTTACGGAAGAAACATTTTTTTTAACTTTTTATACTCTTGCAAATTGTACGTTTAATCCTTGCCGGGAAAGTACCTTCAGGTGTTAGGAAAACTTTATATTAAAATATGTTGCGAAATAATTTCACATTCATTATTCGATGAAATTGTAAATAGATTACAAACAAATTTCGTATATTCTTAATATATGTTATTGGTTATAGGCTCACTTGGTTTTAAAACCATACTTCGCGTTAGCTAAAATTGTATCATCTTCATTTGAGATATATGGGATATAAACTCAATTGAAGAGCTAAAATTAGTATAACGAGTTGAGGTGAAAACGTCAACCAGAGGATCGAAATTCATTATTTTAGGGACATAAGGTTTGGACCAATATCTAGACCAATTTCATACATATTCCCACACAATTTTTAAGAAAACTTGTTCATTTAATTTTATTAAAGTATCATACATTTTGTCAGGTGGAACGTCAGAAATTATTATACAGACTATATTGGGGACAGAGAAAGAGATGGGTTAATTGAGTTAATTTTGACATTACTGAGGTACACTTTCAAGTAATTTTATAAATATACATATAACTCACCATAGAACGACATGTTCGGCACAAGGTTTGATAAAATATCGAAAATTATTATATGTACAATAGTATTTGGGAGTTGGGGTAATTCGTAAACTAAATTCACACATTTTCGGCATTAAACTATAATATATCCAATATTAATTAGTTAATTTTGCTAAGATATCTTACATATCGACTGATATTGTATATGGCATAAGGCCGACCGGAAGTTTGAAATTGTTATGTTAGGTATATATTTGAGAGATAAGGGTAGTATTGGCAATATACTATTAAGAGAATAAAATGCTCCCTGAGTTTCATTGAAGTACCCCACATATATGGAGTAAAATCAACCGGATGTTTGAAAATACTGTGATTAGTTATATGGGGGATATTTTAAGCACAAATATACACTGTTATTAAGAAAATAGGATCTCTCATTTTTGTTAGGATAACTCACATATTGGTTGATATATGCGGTATAAAGTCACCCGGAAGTTCAAAAATTTATATATTAGGTACTTGGGGGCTAAGGGAAATATTGACACGACTCAACCTACTTTTGACACTCAGATCATTTAGTTATTGATTTATCACACTTTTAACTAGTAGTTTTTAACAAAACCGGTATTTGGTTATATAGCTTTATTGGTTTGGCAGATATATATGTACATACATTATAGCACTTTATACGTTTTCGATTAATGGCGTTTTGTGGGAGTGGCAGTGATCCGCGATTACGCTTATCTACGATCTTACTTTTTTGCCAGGGAACATGTGTACCAAGTTTCATCAATATATGTTAAGTTTTACTCAAGTTACAGCTTGCACAGACAGACGGACGGACGGACAGACAGACATTCGCATTTCAACTCGTCGTCCTGAGTATTTATGGTATATAGTATATATAACCCTATATCTATCTTAATTAGTTTTCTGTGACACAAACAACCGTTAGGTTAACAAAACAAAACTACACTTTATAGCTTGCAAGAGTATAAAAATTGCTTAATTTCAAGAGAAAAATTGCAACTGCCAGTACATAGTGATCCTAACATTTTGTATATCTATCCAGCTGTCATTAAAATTGATAGATTTCACTTTCTGCCAATTGTGTTGGGGTCCGGTTGTTGAAAAGACAATTTCGAAATTTTATTTTCTGGCCACTATGGTTTTCTAACTATACCAAGATGGATTTTAAAAAATGAAGTTTTTTAAAACAAATTACCTTCTCTTGTTGGGATTAATCAAGTAGTGACGAGTTTTACTGATTGTGCTTTAGATATGGATTTATTAATGCAAAACAAAAGAGACGTCAGATACTACGAAGGCCAACCTTCGCAGGCTGTAATCTACGATGCAGTTGCCTAAACGAGTACGATTACTTTCCACTCTTGTCCGAAGAAGATGAATAAAATCTTAGTTATAAAGGATAATCCCACTTCAATTTTATACTTATGAAATTTATATTAATGCACCCAAGTCCAATCCGTTTCCAGCCAACTCGAATGGAATTCGTTTCGCTAATATCTTCACCATATCATAACGATCCAGGTCTGTCTTGTCGTGAATCTAAAGAACTGTCAACGAAACAGAAATCCTGTATTGCTTAAATTAGACATATCGGAAAAATTCTGTTTGCTCATCGTTAGCGAAACCCCTTTGGGAACAGTTTCTGAAGACAGAAATTGTTCCCCACATCAAGTTTCCACATTTTTATTTGCTTATACATATTATATTTTTAATTCCGCTAACGTAATGTAAAGTAATTACATATGTACAAAGTTCAGCTGTTCTCCTCTGATATCCAGTATTTAATACATATCAACAATAATGAATTACCGTAAACGTTTCTCAACTCGAGAAAAAGTTGTGTTCTCATTCACAGAGTTTAGTTTCAATTTAGTGGTGAGATTTGTGAGATTTATCGTTTAGATTTTTTATCCCTTTGTTGTTGTACTATTCGTGTTGCTATCCTCATCGTTGTTGTACTTATACTTAGTATTTTCCTCTTTTATCTGGTTCTTACATGTAAGGCGTCAACTTTTAAGGCTATTCCAATTTCGTTATCAACGCGCCGTGGCGTTCTGCGGCATGCCGTCTCCGCCGCCAACTTCCGCCCCGCATCGCTTGTCCAAAGCCCGCTTTCATTTGCGTTTGCGATATTCGGCCGGCGGCAATGTGCTAGTGTATAATCAGTCAGACACTGCATCCACCCACAATAATGGCAGTTAAGGCTTTTCCGCCAGCCGTGACTGTCACCGACATTTCGCTGATAATTTGCGATCGGCGAGAGCAAATGAGCGTTTAGGGAATTCTTATGTTCCGCGATAACAATAACAGTCTAAATTTAGATTTCTTTGAGGACAATGCAATTGCGTAGTTTTACATATTTCATTGCAATATCAAATAAACCAACAATATGTGTAGTGCGCAGTTAATTTATGAATTTCATTTCCAAAACTCTATTAGTAGTAAGTGTGTACAAGATATATGTATGAAGGCGTGTTAGCAATTCTACTATTAATATTAGTAATTCTAATATTTTCCCGTATAGTAGAATTGAAAATTGGGAAAATGCGAGGGGAAGGATCATAACTGATTTGTATGTCCTCCTGAGAGCGGGAGGAGGATCGACCGAAAGCTATGAAACTGAGGAAAATATTTTGATCTGAGAATAGATATCGAAACCGTTTTAAGCAAATCAGTCGCCCTACTTTTTGTTATACTTGTACATCTGTGTATGGAGTTAAAACTAAAGATGTACATAAAACCGGGGAGAAATAAATGACTATGATTTACATATGTGTGAAACCAACTCCATATAAATTATTCGGTTGAAAATAGTCTAAAGATTTCGATACATTTCCTGTATCGGAAGTCTGTCGGGAACAACTCTTTATATAATAAAAACTAAAACCGCATTAAAAATAATTGAACTAACATTTGTATTTTTTTTTTTATTTCTTAATCACGAAATTCTTAATTAAATAAAACATTTAATTTCGAATACCAGATTGAAAAACAAAACCAATTTTATTCCCAAAAAATTAAAAATAAAGTTTTAATCCCAAATACTTAAGAACAAAAACTTAAACTCAAGCTTATAATAAAAAATATTTCAGAATTTACATTTATTTGCCTTTTATTACTTCGTGTTTTATCATTTAAAATTTTTAATCCCAAACGACTAGGATAAAAATAAAATGTTTGATCCAATTTTTGTTTTAGTCATAAAATTCGGAACCCTGATTTTCAATTGTCGTTCCAAGAAATGATGAAAATATTCGAGAGATTTTTATCGTGAGGCACGAAAAATCGAGCGCCCGGAAGGTTGTCACGCACTCAGCTATTACTGTTGCTACTTAATGATCCAATTCGTAAATTGGCTGCTTCAGATATTTTTTTTTGGACTAGTGACCACTGTAGCTCGAAAACCGCTCAGTAGCTTTCAATGAAATGTATGCAGCCTTTTGAAAACATGAAAAATTATGATATTTTTAATTTCGATAATCTCTAACAAATTTTCTTGAGGCCACCATTTAGTTAGTTAAAAAATAAAACTTCGATAAGGCACTAGATTATCTACTAATAAAACTACTTTTTTCCGATTTATTTTAGATGAATCTCCAAGGATTAGGGATGGTCACCGCAAGGAGCTTCGGTTGGAACTGGATCAACACAAACAGCCTTTACTTTTATGAATATTAATTTTTTTCAAAATACTGTCAAGTCAAGTCAAATCAAAATCTAAATAAATGATGCCTTGTTTTTTATTTTATATAATAAAACAATTTACAGGCAAAAATAAACTGATTTAAAATTGTAATTTTTTCATGTTTCTGACTACATGCAATCCCATAATTTAAGAATAGTCTTCAATTTACAGAAAGTATAAGATTAGCTGGTAGCACGAAAAGCGAATACACAAACCGGATGGGCATGATGTCGCTGTGATATGAAATAATCAAAAGAACGTACGTGCCAAGAGATAGTCGTCAATGATGGAATACATATTTGATAATTTCTTTTACGCTATGCTGTATATTTGTTTTTGTTTAACCCGAAAAATGAAAATGTGGAAAATGCTATGGTTTTATTTTGTTTTTCCTCACTTGATTGTACAAAAAAATTATTGACTTAGTTTAGCTAGATTTTATTTTCTTCAGAAAACAAGAAAAATTTTGTGTTGATATAAATCCTGATAAATCGAATTATAGTCATTAGTACCAAAGCTGCTCTGAAACAAGTTTTTATATCTATAGTAACGATTTATTTAAACTTTAGCTTAATACAGATAAATTTATAGTATTTGGTTTATTATCTTTTTCACTAATTCACAAAACTTGGTTGGTAAGATGTGCGAAAATATAATATTTTTGAGGCAAATAATCAATGTAAATAAATGTTAAAAAAAATATTTTTTAATATTGTAAAAACGTTCGACATGTAACGTTATTATATTGCCAAATGTAAAACTTTAACATAACATATAATTTTTGAAGCTGGTTCCAAACATTAGTTAATTAGTTTTAGCTTAAAACGAGTAAAATCTTTTAATTTTTCTAACAACATTTTCCAACACTGCCGCTGAAGTTCTTTTTCCAAATGTCAACAGTGCTCAGCTGTCAACTATCAAATGAAATCAATAATCGCTTTTCAAAGTTGTTAATTCGATTTCAGTAATTTTCTAATACGAAAATTTTAATTTTTCATTTTCAAACAGCAAATTTCTTATTGAATTAATGGTCGGTTGTGGCCAAAATCCGCGCGGAAGTCGTACGTTGTGTGCATTGCGTTAAATTCTGGATTCCGTTGCGGTGTTGTTATTAAGTGAGGAAGAGAAAAATTGTTTACATTTTTTGTTGTTGAACTGCATTGAAGCGAATTGTTCTAATTGTATAGTTATTTTTCTGCATATTGCCGATAATTTCATCTAACTGCGGTGAAACTACAACACATAGCACCTGAAATGACAGGCTGTATTAATAGGTACGAAATAATTGCTGGCCTATACCGATTTACTGCAATGGGTTTGTGGTCGTGATGGCAATATGTTGTAGATGTGAGGGGTACTGAGCAGCTGTAGTTAAAGGGGCCTAATTAGCCTATGTAAAGATCGACCAGCCACTACTTGTCATATAAATACCACAAATAATAAAACATGTGCATATTTTCTGCGAAATTACTACTTGTAGTGGTTAGTGGAAAACGTGTTAATGTATTCATGTTGGGTATGTGCATCATAAAGCACCTATTGGCTAATACTCTAATCGAAGTTAATAGTGAAATTGGCTCAAGTTAAGCAGAGAAGAGTGGCACCATAGTTGCTGTTATTTTTGTGCTGTCAGTGGGCCACCAGCGTTCTTCATGGTTGTGCTGGTTCATTTTCGTAAATATTTACTAAGTGAAGGAGCGCATCAGCGCTAGAAGGGGCAAATGATCGTTTAGATATCTAAAAGTTTGGCTCTTAATTATTTGTACGACTATGTGTTCGACTGTGCGTCTTCTACTGAGGCGAGCAGCTGCTTTTTTACGTAGCAGTATTTGTGCGGTTAAATAGCCTCATCATGTACTAAATTTAAAATGTGTTCTTATTTTTTGCCCACCACCACACTTCACCACCTTGTGCGTCTCTACATTGCTGACTGTGTGCGAGACAGCATAATGAGACGCTGCACAGCAAGTCAGCTGTGCACTGCAATGGGATCAGTTCAAAGCATGCCTTGTTTCCCATGCCTATGAAGATTGATAAGCAGAAATGGAATTTTTTGATTTAGATTTACCTATTTGAATGAATGTTAGATTAATTATCAAACGCTTGCCCATACATACAATACTCCTTACTCTTTGTTCTCACTTCTAACTTGCAACATACAATTTTTACTATTTTAATTAGCATTCACTTTCTTCTTGGTACAATTTCAGAATCGCCATGTTCATCGCTTGTAGCATATGATGTGCTCATCGGCGACAACCTATTGCCTGAGTTTTAAAATAAGTAAGTGTTAATTTTTATATAATGTGACCAGACAAAGTATCCAACCCAAACTCTATATACTACCAAACCAATATTTGCATTCTGAATTATGTGTGGTATCAAAACACTCAAAAACTTGATAAAGTATTACCGAAAATTGAATATACAAGTAGCAAACAGTGTTTTACAACATAAAAAGACAAGAATGCATTCTTTCATAAAATTCCCTTGTTGTGATCGTAACTCTCAAGTCGAAAAGATACTAAGTCACCCGTTCTCTCGACCATTGACTTCAAGCAACCGGTATATAATCGTATTTATTAAAAGTGATATGTCATCAAGCACAATATAAATGTAAGGACGAGTAGCTGTGGGTTCATTGTCTTGCAACAACAATAAAATGTGTCCAGAAAAGTATTACGGTGGTTCTTTAGATGATGGGTGAAGCGTTATGAAACTTTTTGAAACTTCCGTTCTTTCTACAGACCCGAATTTTATTTTTAATTGATTTATGCTAATTTTTATTTTTAATTATAAGCTTGGACTCATTTTTTTTAACAATCTAGTTTTTGTGATTAAAAATAAAAAAACAAAAAAAAAAATTAAAAATTAATTTATTAAAATAATAAAAATTAAAAATTTATTTTAATCCACATAATATAAATATAATATACATTTTTTAATTTTAAATTTTAAATTAAATAAATCGCAACCCTGATCTCCAGCTGAAATAGTTTGTACTTTGTTTCTCCAATAGTAATGCCAAAAAGACAAAACAATACACTGTAAACCATGCAATCGCTGCCATACCACATGCTAATCTAATATTTTAATGCCAATTTTTGCTCAAAAGGCATGGAAGACAGCAAGAATCCAACCCAGAAAAATGTATACAAATATGTTTACATAAAAACGGGCCAAAATATGCAAACCTATAAACTTGTATATGTACGCATGTATGTACATATATATAAGCTCATTGTAAATATTGTTTAGAAGAGAATAATCAACTCGTCTGTACACTATCAAAGCGAAATAATTGAAAAATAAAATTAAAAACAAGAAGTGGGAGAAGGTGTTAAGATGTTGTTGTTAGCAAATGATTATTTTATAGCGTTTGTGGAGCAACATACATGCTCACAAACCTAATTATACGTTAAAATACAGACAAACATATGTATTTACATACATATGTACATAAACGCCCAAGAAATTGGGTTGGCGCTTTTGCTGATATGAATCAATTGAATCGCATTCTGAACAAGTGCTTGTGAAGGTGAGTACGCCAGTATCGACACGGAAACTAACGCGCTCACTGATATAGACCGAAAAGGAAATCAGTGATTTTTGTCAAACGCTAGTTTCAATAGTGCATTTATTCGGTTGGACAATGAGACGTAAACCAATTTATTAATTGATAAATTTGGGATTTGGATGGCTTGAGTCGATCCTTAGTTATCTAAATTCAGCTCTTTAAGAGGCAATACTTCCAAGGAAAGCACTTGACAGTCATTCATAAATTGGTTTATAAAATTGGCCAGATACATATGTACATACATACATATATGTTGCTTAAACTTAAAACTTTGGTCTGTGCATTGCAATTTGGAAGTAAAGTGGGCTGTTAAAAATAAAAACGTTTTAAAATGATAACATTTGCATTGTGTCCGGTTTTAAATTTTTCGAAATCTAAAGGCATACTGTGAGTATTATCAAATTTCTTATAACTGCATATACAAACCATATATTTAAAAAACATAAAAGGAATATTTGCCAGAACAAACTTTGCCAATTCCTGTGTGACTCCTAGGTACTGTCAGCAATGGCTTTTTATAAACAATGAAACATTTTAACACACACAAATTTAAAAATTCCAGAAATGTTTTATGCTTGTGTATTCAATAAAAGTTTGACTTATGCTGTCAATTGATTTATTGAAATTGGAAATACAATAATTAAGCGTTGATTATTTACTCGTCGAATTGCGATGATGATGTCCAATAAAAAGTAAATATGTGTTAAGAAAACAAAATTATCATTTATAATAAAAATAGACAAAGTTAGCTACATTTCTGAACAACTATAATAATAATACTTTTTATTCAAAAAAAAAAAAAAAACCGTTGGGTGAAAATGAACATTACATTGTGACTGCGACTTAACAGTTAAACAAGAAAATAGGTTAACTTCGGTATCCCGTGAATGTTTTAAGAGGTTAAATTCTTGTTTAAATAGATTCTATCCCGACATTTCAAAGATATTACATGCATTTAGAGGTTCTTGCGTCGCACTAGATGTCCGCTGAAACTTTCTAATCAACACCTCTTCTCTTATCAACCAACCCTTTACAAACACATTGACGATGTCGATGGCAGCCTCTGGTTTCTTTTCATAGTATTTTGTAAAATGAAATAATAATCAGGTGTGTTGTCGAATCTGATGGTTCTCAGAATCAGAATTGAAACCGATAAAAAATGTAAATGTCATGAATTCAAATATTATTGGTTTGACGTCCGAAACAGAAATTGTATCGGTTTTGGGTGTCACGGAAACCAATTTTAACGGTTTTGTTAACACAAAGCAAAAGTATAGTCGCTAACAAATTTGAAGTGTAAGTTAAGAAATTAATTTATATTATTGTTACGATTTAATTTATCTTTATTTCTATTGGGGAAAACATAAAAAAAAAACACAAAATGTCATAATTATTGAGTTTATGGAAAAAATCCGGATATTTTAGGAGGATTTACCAAACGTAATACACGTAATTTAACACATAAATGCGTATTTATTCAGTCGATAATGTGATATAAAAGAGGGGGTATACAAACATACAAGTAAATTCAAGCCAAATTTCACATGCGATCGCTCCGGTACATCAAGTGGATTACTGCGATCTTTTAATATCTTAATTTTAATTTTTTCGTTGCCTTTTTCTTCCAATAAAATAAAAGCTTAAATAACGGAACTCATTGCAAACTTTAGTAGATTTTATTTAGTATTTGTCACATTAGTAAACAGTTGATTTGAATATTAGTTTTGAAATATTGAAAATCAGAATTGGGTTCCCTGCTGGTGTAAAGCAAACTACATGTAAGTTTCGGAAAATGTTTTACACATTATCCTTGTAGATTTTTTAAATTACCGAGAAATTAAATATTTTTCTAGTGTTCTCGTGTAATGTGTGGATTTTGTGATATTCATTGAAAGTTGACAATTTTAATTCTCTTTATTTATTATCGAAAGTTCGAAAATTGGTTGTTTAAATAGACAGACGGACGGACGGCCTAAACTGACTCAGCTCCTTACCCTGATCATTTATTTATATATATATTTTATAGGGTCTCCGATGTTTCCTTCTGGGTGTTACAAATTTTTGGAAAACGTAATATACCCTGTTCAGGGTATGAATATTTAAGTATATACTGTACTTATTAAGCGGTCAATAGGCATACATATAGTAATAATCCTTGTCCTCAAGACGAAAACATCGACTTTACGCTAATATGGTGAACAGAACTTTAGGAAATGTGGCGTGAGAATATTTGTTTACTAAAATATTATATAAAATAATATTTATAAATTAAAACACAACAAAAGTTTTAACCCATAAATATATTGCAATTAAAGCTTATGTATTGGCTAATCCGTTAAGCCTTGCAGCTCAGCCAAATATGAAAATTCGATCATTAATGAAATTCACAAAAAAACAAATATAATAGCTGAAACTAAAATTTTCGCACATAAACGTAATTCTTCATTGCCAAATATTAGCACAAACATAATAAAAATACGAAAACAAGATCTTTGTAAAAAAAAAATAAAACAAAATGTTGCTGTAATCTCCGCCATTCATGATGATGCATAACCATCACACATCAGCGCCATCGTATCGCAGCGTGGCTATAAAGACATCAATTGTGTTGTTGCCGCAAAAGCGTCTGTGTTGCTCGTTGCACATTTCTCCATAAAATGCCAGTCAATGGCGGCAACAGGTAGCGTGTGGGCTGAGATCAAGGGCAAACAATCCACAATTCTCCACCGGCACAAAGGAAAATACCCTCAATCTGTATGTAAACATATATCCGAATGTACATATGTGTACATAGTATTAATAAGTGCATCCACGAGGACGGCTAGAAAAATACCCTTTTTTCATACACGAGAAGGAGCTCAACCTTTTTGAATGAGTTTTATTTTATTGACCACTTCCAAAGGGTAGATCTTCTAAAGGTTCTTCTGTCGGTGTTCCACTCGGTAGTGGAAATCTTTCTGATAGGACTACTCCTGCTAATGGGCATTTCTTGTTTAGAATGATAACATAGCTACAATTTGATTTATAACGGGACAGTGCCTACGCCGTACAGTGCGCACCGAAAACTATTGCTGCTGTAGACCAGAGTATCGAAGAAAACCCGAATGAGTCTATCCGCCATCACGCGCATCAATTGGAGCTGTGCTCATCCACTTTATGGAAGATTTTACGGAATAATCTTGGTTTGCGGGTTTACCAAATCTAACTCGTGCAAGAATTTAAGCCGAACGACTAACAAGCGCGTCTCACGTTCGGTTAATGGGCCCAAAACGTGATGGCCACCGATCCCGATTTTCACAAAAAAGTTTTGTTCAGCGATGAAGCTTACTTTTGGTTGAAATGGTCCGTTAATAAACAAACTTGTCGCATTTGAAGTGATGATAAACCACAATTTATTAGAGAGACGCTGTTACATCCTCAAAAAGTCACTGTTTGGTGTGTTCTATAGGCTCATTGCTCCACATTTCTTCAAAAATCAAGCCGACCATAGTGTTGCAGCCAATGGGGAACGTTATAGAGCTAAGATTAAAGTGGCGTGGCCTTTAAGATCGTGCGATTTAACAACATTGGACTATTTTTTGTGGGGTTATGTGAATTTGCTTATCTACGCAGATAAGCTCGGGGCGATTGACGCCTTGGAGTAAAATATTCGGCGCCTTATGGCTGCAAAAACTGGTCGAAAATAGTGCCTCTCGGCCGGAATTTA